AGGAAACTTAAGAACTCGAGACAACCGTATATGGTATGGTCATACGGTATTTGCATGCTAACCTGATGATCACGCGGTTAAAATTTGCACTGCTTAGTTTCGCATTGATTGCTCCGCATTATGACAAGCATGCTCTTGGTTATCATGAATATAAAAAAATTCGTCTGTCATTTTCTCGCCATTCCATATATTGTCATCCGTTGTGATTGGGATTTCTCAGAGTGCCGCCAGTCATTTACGGGAGACATACGCCCGAAAAAATTAACCTGTCTTGCATACAACTCAAATTAACGATTTAGCTAATCATTTAGTTCTCGAAATATATCTATCAATACAAACTTTGTAGCATAAATTATGCCTATTTATTTTATTTATTCTTCGACTGCCCTTAAGTAAGTTCCATCAGACTAAAGCAGCCTCCTATATATCTACTCTTCGACGCATGAATTTTTGCTACAGAAAAAAAATCAACCTTCGCTCAATCATCCCTTCATAACCAGCGAAGGCAGATGAATACGGCAGCGTGCAAAAAATGTAAAATATTACGCTAAATCACTTCATTCAGCGTCTGTCATTTGAATGGAAACGCGACGATGAAAGCAGCGAGATTTAATTCAATTTTCAATCACTGAATTTTTATCTTCTGGACAGACATACGGAACTGAGGACAATCATAAATTATTGGATAGATATACGAAGAACATCATACAAACAAAAGAGAAAGCTGCAATTGTGCACCATATCAACTGCAACTAACGGTACGAAATGTGAGCTATAATACTGAAAGTTCTTCATAGACTGCATACTTCAAGGGAAAATATGTTTAGAATAACAACCAAACATTGGAAAACGATTAGACTGGTACGGGCATAAACAAAAATTTGCGAAGCCATGGCAAGAATGGATAAGTTAGAGTGCGATAGCGACGACACTTTACTAGAAAAACTTATCATCGCTGAACCACACAGGGTTGAGCTCCAAAATATAGTAAACAGTAGGCAGAGGCCTCCGGATCGATTTTAGAATGAGCTAAAGAAGTTTGCTAGATGAAGATACATGAAAATGTCAGAAAGCGAAAGTCTATGGTGAAATCTTTGAGACGCCTTCTTCTAGCAGTAGATCATCAAAGGATAATGATGATGCTCAACTTCACCTGAAACTCAACTAGAATGTCAATATTACGTGACTCCCTCCAAGTACAACCCACAATCCCGGTATCAGTTAAAACTACAATCACCCAGCTACACTAAGCTTGCCTAACCCAACGAATTTGCTGCCACCTCGAGATCCGAGGTAATTTCAGATATTGCTCCGGGTTTAAACAGTGATTTTACAGTCACTCATTCTTCACTGATCTACTTAAACAACGAAATAAAAACATATCTAAATATAATTGATATTTATAAGCCTTAATTTTTCATTCCTCTTGAATAATACCATGGGTCCTTACAAAACAAAATATGTTCTTAAAATATGCCTTTAATGCGAACTTGACAGAAAATACCACATTGCTTCAGTTTTAATGATGAAATTTGCTTCTTCTGTCAACGAGCTATGACGAATTAAATTTATTTTACCGTTTGAACATAAATTCAAATACAAAAATTACATTTTCCAGCAAAGATCAGGAAAGAAACGAAAAAAATGAAATACTCATAAAAATACAAAGCCGAAATGGGGCAGAAAATGACTGCATAGAAAGTTGATCAAAAAATGAAACCGAAAAAAATATTGCTGACTGTTTATCGCCTGCTTGAATCTAGATCTAGATTGTCGATGGAGTTCGTTTCTTCATTAAATGCCATTGTGTTACGGCCTGGAATCAGAAATTTTAAGATATGTCTAAACAGTGACAGTAGTGGATGCTTATTGCAACCGAAGAAATTGGAATTCACTTTAAGATTTTCAGACTTTTATGGAAGGAGATCAGCACTTTGCCTAGTCCAGTAGTTCTGTACTTTAGTTTCGCCGTAAAATAAACTTTGAAACTATCTTATGGAAAGATATTGACTATCAATGGTATAAAAATAAACCCAAATTGACGAATTCTAGCAGATAATCTATCTTGTTGACAGAAAAAAATTCATGAATGCAAGTGGAATATGAAGTTTCTAATAAGAGTATAACGGCATAAAAGATCAGGAGTTCTGAGGTATCTTTATCCCTTTGCCGGAGCGCCATTTTAGCCATTTCATTGCGAAAGCCTTGCAATAAACATGTGACGTCGGAACACGATATCAGCATGGTTAAGATTAGATGGTTTAAGTCATTCGCTCTACGGATTAAGCAATTCGCTAGCTAAACAGCCTACAGTTCCTATTGATCTAGGATCTAAGAATCGTAGCCGATAGAAAAAAGTTCAAAA